ATGTTTAGTTCACAAAACGTTCTCATAATTCTTTGTAATCATCAGAATCATCTTATTAATCATCTGTAATCATCTCTTTACCAAAAACATCAATACAATCGCATTCTTTCTTCAAGTTCTTACAGGATTCAGCCCACGCTTACCTTGTCTCCAATCTAAACCTAACCTAAACTAGGAAGTGAGTTTTATCCCTCACAGTAACCATCATTTCAATCTGTACTAAAAATCGGCCGCTTAGACATAGGCGATCTTTTTCTACTTTGATTTATGTCAAGTTACCGTAAAAAATCGATCTTTCGATTTTAACCCGTCTAGACCGTTCAGATGACTGCCTAGCCGCCTAGGCGGCCGCCTAATCTATATTTTTAATAATATTTTTATCTATTTATTTGTTTTAAATTTTAATAAATTATAATTTTGATGAAATTATATCATATTAACTTTGTATATTTTATTTGTGTGTGTTTATAAGATTCTAAATATGAAAATGTATTAATATTATACACAATTAAAGATTAATATATCTTATAACATATCAAATAGTCTAAAAATTTTGTTCCATATAATTCCCGCTTAATCCTCGATTTTCTCTCTATGTGCTAGGCCCAATCGAGCCGTCCGACTAACGCATTCTCGAACATGGATTTCAATTGATATGATATACGAAATCATATTTTCAATATGAAATCATTTTCTTTTCATTTCTGAAATATATATGTACATTGAATCTAACTCAAAATGGTAATGTCTTGTACGATTTTCATCATGTGTAATATTTATATGAATCGGCATTACACGTTTTCGATATCATTGTATACTGTAAGCGTATAACGTTTGTAATTAAAAAAAAACAGATAAATATAAATTAGTAGAGGGATAAGAAAACATGGTTCAAAAGGAAAACATGGTTCAAAAAGGAGTCAACCTCCTTGGATTGACAAAGTCAAGGTCTCATTATACTGGCTATGATAGAAAGACCAACTACGTTTGGGACCTTGACTATCTTGGAAAATACAATCCTTTTAAAAATATATCAAAGACTCCTGATAAAACATTTTAACCATGCGGTAGACATTGTTATTGGATAATAAACGTGATTTTATTTTGTTTTGATCCCTTACGTTAGACACTCCAAATAATATATATATATATATATATATATATATATATATATATATATATATATATATATATATACCATCATCAACTGAGACTCAATCTTTGTATATAGTTATAAAAGTAAACCCAAGTCCAAGGGTTGGTAACAAAGAACCTGAAAACTCTTGAAATAAGAAATAAAAAAAATTATCACAAACAACACAAGCATAGTGAAAAATACAAAAAAAAAAAAGAAAAAAACCAAGGAACATATGATCTCATAACAAAGGCACCTGAAATCCCTTATTTATATGATGATCTCAAAAACCAGAGTTAGGAGAAAAGTCTCCAAAATGCAAATATCTGGTGTAATCATCCTGTTGCGTTGAAGATCCACCAGCAGATGAAGAAGTTGTAGTAGATAATGTCTGATGATTATACATTAAGCCTCCGGTTTCTCCACCGGCCATACTATAGCTTAATGCATCGTTACTATTTCCCCCTTGCTGAGGAAATTGGTTATAGTAGTATTGGTTATCATATGGTATGGTTTGTGGATTTGAATAGTATGCTTGATTATTAGAAGAGTAATAGTCTGGTAGACCGGTAATAGTACGAGTACTGTTACTTGCTAGTTCAGCTCTCTCAGGGAAGTTAAGTTTGGCTTTGCTTCCTTTGAACTTAAGAGCTGCTTCATCATAAGCTATGGCCGCAGCTTCAGCTGTCTCAAATGTCCCGAGCCACACGCGTGCTGCCTTTTGTGGATCCCGGATTTCAGCAGCCCATTTTCCCCATGGTCGTTGCCTTACCCCTCTATAATGTCTCTTCCTTAGGTTTCCTTCACACAATTAACATGCCACAAATAATCAGGACTGGTTCTATACATATGCAAGTGCAACATTTCTTTATGATTCTTAAAATTTTGTAAAAATAATTTTCTTAATTTGTAAATTTTTTTTAGTAAAACCTTTTTATTATAGTATTATCTATATCCTCTAGAATTTTAGGGTCGTTCCTGCAAAAAGTTAACCTCGTATATATGTTTATATACACTACATGATAATTACTCTTATAAGAATGGAGATTTTCGTCGTCAGGAGAAAATCTATTAGTTAGTGATATGCTCATTTTATATGTACTCTTATATATCATCATAAACCACCTGTTACTTGCATATATATGCTTGCAAGTCCAGCTATGTGTGCATATATAAATTTTATATTCATATCTATATACCTTGGTCTTGATTAGGAGGAACAGGGTGTGTAGGATCTTGTTGGTTATACTCATCAGGGTGATGTTGATAATTATTATCATGAGTGTTGCTTTGGTTTCCAATGACTTGAGTCAAGGCTGAGACCATGGCACGTGTGTCGTATTTGGAACGGTCGGAGAAGAAAGGAAATATGTTCTCCTCATCTTCAGCGTCCTTCTTTTCAGATTCATCAGCTCGAAAGGGGCTCTTCCCATAATTCCTCCCATTCGCCATCTTTTCAGATTTCACTTAAATTTTGGGCTTATAGAAACAAAGAAGAGGAAGGAAAGTGGAGGAAAGATATTAGTTAATTAGGGTTTTGTAGTGAGCGCACTTGTTAAGGTATTTATAGAAGGATTTTTGTTTGTGTGAACAGAAGGCAAAAGAAAAACTAAAACTAAAACTAAACGTCAAACTGAAGTTTTGCATATGCTTAATATTTTTATTTAGTTTTCTAGCTATCATAATATTCGAGACATAAATCATGCACTGATATTAGTGTACTTGTTAAAACTGTTGAAACGCGTGAAAAAAGCCTTTTGATAATTATAGCAGACAATGCGTACGTGTGAATCTGAACAAGTTAAGAAATGGATATAAAAAGATTACTAAAAAGCTCTACAGAAGAAATTAAAATACATATGAACGCTATAAAGAGGATCAAAAATCGCAAAAGGAGAAAAATAAAGAAAGAAAATGCATGCATGTACATATTCTTTACTGGTTTCTTTTCGGGAACTCATGCATGGAATCGAAGAAGATGACAAAAATTACAAAAAGTTCTATTTTTTGAATGTTTGATTTTAAATATATATATGTATATATATATATTAATTGTGTTTAAATTATACCGATATTCTCTGAATAGTTAAAGAATAAGAATTAAGTTTTAAAAGTTTATTCATTAAATTAAATTAAAAATAAAGGAGGAGCTTACGTATACGTGTGAGTGGGATTCTTTTTTCTGAAGTGGAATATTCTTTTTTGTTTCCTAAAAAACATCTGGATAGAGATAGAAAAAAAGAAAATTAGTTATATGTCCAAGAGATGTGTACACACGGAACCTTACAGGGAAAACGTGTGAATTGAACATGTTGTTTTTTGTAAGTGTTGATCATGTTGTTTTGGAGTTTTTTTTATTGCTAACATATATAGGAAGATGCTTTCTAGCTAGTATCATCTATAGCTTGGAATGATAGTTCAGTTTAAAGTGCTTGTATAATGACGTGGAAGCTTGATCCAATGATCATCTAAACGGTTAAAAGATCATGTGCATGCATGTGAGAAAGTTAAAAAACTCCAGTATGTAAGAAAAGGTCAAAGCAAATTATTACAATATGTGAGTTCAATCATGGCGTAAGTCATGTAAATCATATGTATGACGTACGGCTGTTAAGACTATCCATAAACTGATAAACATACTCGTGTTTTTCGTGAAAGATAATTAAAAATTTAGTCATCTATTTTGGAAATCTAGACGCGTAATTAAATTGACTGTAAGATATTTAACAAATGCGTCCGTCACGAGAGGATATTTAGCAGTGCGAGTGAGCTGCTAATTGATTTGGTCTAAGATAATTTTATGACAAGCTATCCCCTAAAAGCTTACAGCAGCGCATTGACTCAAACATTTTCCATGTGAGTTTTTATTGACTTCTTCATGTTAGTTATTGATGCAGGTCAACTGATGATAGTTTGTTCAGTGGGATGATTGTTAAAGAATGCAATTTTGGATTTGAATAGCGCCAAATACATCAAAACCTATATGGAAGAGTCTGTGAGGATTCACATGAAAGACGTTGGGGTCAATGCACTATAGCAATGTGAGATTCCACGGGATGCGTTGTCACAAAAAAGTCGAATCCATGATCTCACATTTTATTAACTCTCCCACAGAACAAGTTGTCACCAATTGATATAGTAACATCCCGAATTCTGATATACGGAAAGGTTTAAGATGATTGATTTAGCTATCTATGTTATCAAAGTGCACTTATTTTTCGGGAGCATATCCCGGAAAGTGATTTATGATACCGTGTAAGTGAAGCCAAAACACGGAGAAAAATCATGTGGTGATTGTAGGGTCAGTAAACATAACTCTAGAGTTTTCGAAAATTAATGGACCGGCCGTTGAAACGAAATATGACCTACATGCCGAGAGCGAGCGTAGGTGGCCCATTAGCCGTGGACGAACGGAGCGTTACAATTGGTATCAGAGCTGGTTAGTCGTCTCAGTTCTAACCTGAGAGGCGTCTTGAGACCCGTCGTGGGGTGCAACGAGGACGTTGTGTTCTTTGAGAGGAGGTGAATTGTAACATCCCGAATTCTGATATACGAAAAGGCTTAAGAGGATTAATTTGGTTACATATGTCATCAAAGTGCACTTATTTTTTGGGGAGCACATTCAAAGAGAACTTCAAAGTTAAGCGTGTTTGAGTTATAGTACTCAAAGAAAAAGTGATCTATCGGAAAGTAATTTGCGATACTATGTAACTGAGGCTAAAGTATGAGAAAAGATTATGTAGTGATTGTAGAGTCAGTAAACTTAACTCTAGAGTATTAAAAAATTAATAGACTAGAACAGAATGAAACCCACAGAGTAAGAGAACGAACGTAGATGGTCCATTAACTGTAGACGGACAGGACACAGAGAGGATTGATTGATGAAAATGGTCATAATCTATTAGCAGATAATAAGGATAATTTTGTTAATATAGGTACATATTATTACTCTAACAACCGACTGTGTCACAGGGTATGCATCAGAGCATCTCAACTAGCTCATCGGTAACCGGTATTGAAAGAAACACTAAAAATCTGAAAGAATAAGAAGGCATGGCCCTCAAGGGTTTACACATAAGATGATACGTTCCCACAAAACCAATGTTCTAAAATGCAGTCTAGACTAACACTATTCAGTAATCAACCGTAATGTTTTCATGTTATACAGTGTTTATGCAGTTTGATAGAGTTAACTCCTAATAGCGTTTACAAAAAAAATCCTTTGTAGACACATCCCAACAGTTCTTTTTGGTTGGACATAACTGAACACATCGATCCTACTAGTTTCTTGTTACATTTTGTAAGCAAAGTACAAAAATAGATCCTTCTAGATACAATTACTTTTTGGTTGGAAAGATTTAAAAGTTTAGAAGAGAAAAAAAACAGCAAGATTTCTCTGGGGTTTGATGATACAACAAAACTTGTGAAGCAAACTTGAACAAGTATATTTACCTTTGTCTTAATCTTTTGGGTCTCTTCTCTTTCTATGTTTTACCTCTGCAGAAGATGCCTAAGGTTAGTCTGACTTATGACATGAAAACTGTCTTGCTCATCGGTTAGAACGAATCTGTCTCTTCTCGGTTTTCAGAGCTGTTGCTAAAGTTGGTGTAATTGTCAAACCTATTTGTTCGATGCTTCCCTGGTCTTGACCGAATGTTCGAACCCATTGGAAATGTTTCCTGCACATTACATATGTAACAAATAGATATGATTACATAACAAAGCATTTGGATAACGATTTATATTAAGTGAGGTCTTGTATCTTTGTTTACCTGCTCACCAGCATTTGGACCAGTGGTGTGGAAGAGAATAGGCCGGCAACGTTTGTCTTCGTTCATCAAACTCGAGTTCTGGAAATGAGCAATAAGAGCTGATTGTCCCTGGATCCGACCATATGCCAGAGACGCCACCTTCTCGCTGTTGAATTTTTCCCATTTCTTACCGTTGAATGCCTGTTCAAGGTTTTTAATACTTATTTCTCCAAACAAATTCGTAAACTCACAAATCAAATCATGTATAATACCTTGTACAATGGGACAATGTTTTCCGGTTTGGTAAGGTTGATGAAAGCATATCCTACATTGCATTTGTTCTGCAAAGAGAGGGGAAGGTTCATTGACATAGACAATGAAATTACCATAAGGTAAGAGGCATACATACCTTGAAGTCAATTGGCAAATAAAAGAAATCATATGTTCCTCTACAGTACTCATCAATGGCAGCTAGAAGCAACTTAGAAGTATACCTAAACCATTACAACAAATAAATTTAACTCAGGCCAGAACGATCAATAATTGCACTAGGGTTTTAAAAAAAAAAAGTGAAGTCACTTACTTATTAGGAATGTTTTTTATCATCAGTGTTGTTCTGCTGTCCTCCCCACGTAATATACGATCAACATCAAGCTCAAACAGTTTCTTTTCAGCATTACTAGAGTTAGAATCGCTTCTTCTGTTAGAGAGATTCCTGTACCGTTCATTAGGCAAGCCAAATGAGCCTGGCACTGAAAGCATTGAGCTCCTCCTTCCATTATACAGGTGAGACATCTGTGGTGATGATCTCAACACCTTATGAGAACCCATTTCCATTGGATGTGAGGGAGAAGAGCCAGGAAACCTCATGCTACTACCATGAGAACCCATATGAAATCCAGAGGATTTTGGAGATTCAGCTGCATAGGCCTGTCTTCTATCCCAAAAAGGCGAGTTTAATACAGGAGCCGATCCAATGTGGTGGTGCACAGGCGATGATGCTATGTTCACCATTAGAGGAGATGCTCTAGAGAATGCAGTAACAGGTGGGATGCGCTGAGGAGGAATGTTGCTGACGCGAGACGGTGAGTTAGGCCACATCAAGCCACTTGACGGATTATGTTGCTGAGTGTTAGGGTTGCTCCACAAGTTGTGGTTAGCACGAAGGGATCCTATGAATACAAGAAACGTAAATAAAAGGACATGCCATCACTAACCTTAGTGTATCAAACCAGAATAGCTATAAGAAGAAATATACTTACCACCTCCATTAATCCCATCTACGCCCACTCCACGACCGTTGCTCATCATAAAGCCTTCACTTGCTTTTTGGCTATCACTGACCATTTCAGAGAATGTCGTAGAGGATTTATATGGACTACCACTTGCAAAGTTGCCAAGGTACTCATGAAAAGAATGAGGATGCAGATTTGGCATGCTTTGGATCCCCATTTTTGAACTATCAAAGGGGTTTCCAGATTCCTGAAGATCAACAGGCTTGCTAGGTGGCACCCCATTAGGATTCTGGTGCCGTTCAATGAAGGAATTCACAGGTGATCCAACAGAACTGTGCATAGATCTACCATTAATGGAGGTTGAAGCTAATATTCCTGGGAAACGGCTTCCTGAAACAGAGAGTTAAAAGGATACGTATGAGTTGTGACATGATGCTCAATCATTCAGAAACAAATAACCATAAACCGTGTTAACTAGTATACCTATTTGCGCTGATGATAGATTGGTAAAAGCCATTTTAGATAGACGCCGCTCAACATCATCTGTAGCAAACTGTGGCGTGAAACTGAAAAAAGGGAAGGATGAATCATACATTCAACATAATTGGCGTTCTTAATGATATTTACAAGCAAATCAGAGGTTCAAATCAGGTTTTTATTGCATCAGTTCACATACATGGAGAAAAAAAAAAAATATAAGAAGAAATATTGATAACCACCTTATACCATCTGGACAGGATGGGGAAAGTTTAAGCTGCCTCCCAGCAATCTCAATCCCATTTAGACCTCGGAGAGCAGCCACTGCGGCTCGAACATCAAAGAACTCTATGTATATTTGTGAGTTCTCATGACGAACCTGCAAACAACAGCAATAGCATAAGTACCAAAAGCACAAAGTCACATACCAAGTCAATATCACAAAGCAAGTATAAGGAGATAGCCAGTGAGAAAAACCTCTCTGATTTCTCCGTATGAACTGACTATTCTGTGAAACTCTTCACTGGATATCGAAGAATCAAGATTATTAACCAACAGAGCTCCTTCGCTGGTGTTCTCTTTTTTAGGATTCTCCTGATATGAAAAAAGGGAGTTATAAGCAAGATATTAGTCCGCATAAATGGCAGTTATAATGCACATAGTACGGAAAAAACCACAATCACACAAATAAGTGAGATTGGGAACGATGAACAACACCTTTGGGATATGATAATGAATATCAAGCTTCCTTCCCCTTAAGAGCCTACCGTGGAGTGCTCTCATCGCATTCTGAGCAGCCCTTATATCATAGTATGATATCATGATAGAGCCACGACTCTTGCCAGCTGTATGAAGAGCCCGGACATCTCCATATTGCTAAACACGTACATATATATATATATAATCAATGAGATGCGAAGACCTCAAAATTTTGCAAAATAACATCTCTTGCCATTAACAAGTACCTCAAAAAGGACCCTAAGCTCACAGTCTTCAATGATGCTATCCAGATTCCTAACAAAAAGAGTTCTGGATACAATTTCCCCTTTAGGAAGCTCGCCAGAAACAGAAACATTGCTGCCTCTTTGACTCACAGTGGAAAAAACATCACCATCTAATTCCATGCCACCAACACTGCTGAACAGGTCAAAGTCATCCAAATCATTGGCACGAGACTTATGTCCAACGACACCTGCAAAAAAATCATCCTCATCTGGAAGAAGATTTCCAATAGTTCGTGCCTCCATCTCTTCTAAAGACTCAAAAGGTTCCTCCTCCCGGTTTACAGACATAAAGACTAAAGTATCACTTCTTGGTAGCCCTACTGCAAATAAGTACAAAATCAAGGACCGTTATTCTCACATGAGTGGTTTTGTCTAGCCATTACCAACATAACAACAGAATGAGAAGCTTACGTTTTCTACAAGAAATATCAGAGAGAGAGCTGGAAAAAAGAGTGCTCTCCCAGTGAGTATCACTTGTGGTTGTTCTGCCATTAGGAATAACAGAGGGAAGCGTCCCAGACAAGCTTGATTGCAGCTTGTAAGTACTGTCAGATGTGCAGGAACTAGTGGGTGGATTTAAACGTCTATCCCCTCCAGCTTCAGGCATTTGGTTGAGGTTCATGAAACCAAATTGTTTGTTCTACCAAAAGAAAAAAAAAACAAATGTCTTGAGAAAAACCTTGTGCATAGTGTCATATACAACCAAATTGTAATTTATAAAATCACATAACACGTGTAAGAAGAAGAGAGTTACCAGGAAAGGTGAGGGAAGACCTCTGGGTTCAAATATATCAGAGGGCATTGTACAACAAGACCCAAACCTGCATAGAGAAACAAGCAGATAGGTTTGCAATATAAGGGATCCAAAAGAGACTAATTTTTCACTGGAGATTTCTACTACAATCTCAAAATTTAGGGAATTAAAGCGGGGTAATTTTTTTTTTTAATGGAATTAAAGCGGGGTAAAATCCCTAAAGCGGGGTAATTTAGGGAATTAAAGCTGGGTAATAAAGAATTTTGAGTTAAAAAGAGTAGAGATCTTTTTGGTGCATTCAAAGCAGAGAGAGAGAACCAACCAAACAACTTTTTACCAAAATTCAAAAAAAAACTTACTGAAAAGACACAAAATGTGATTCTTTCTTTCTCTCGAATTCCGCCAAAAGCAATTCAAATGAATGAGAAAGGATCTCGTAAACCCCTTCTTCTCCAAGAAGACAAAGGCAGCAGAGAGGGAGCAAGAAAAGTCTCCTTCTTTTTTTTGTTTCTTTCTATCAAATCATACTAAAAGTGAATCGGTGTTTCAAATTCTCATTCCTCTACGAGCAGAGAACACAGGCGTACTGAGCCTTTGATTCCGGCACTCCCTCCAAGAGAGAGAGAGTTTGGTTTGGTTTTGGATTTTAAAAAAGAAAATGGAAGGGAAGAAGACAAAAAAAAGAGAGAGAAAAGAGATTTGTGCTAATAAGCCCCCATGGATCTAGCGGGTACGCTGTCACCTTTATAATCTCCACCCTTGGTTTTTGGATTTACTTCGCTTTTTTCTTTCTTTTTAATTATACGGATTTCTTTTTACTCACACGCGATTTCAAAAAAAAAAACAGTTATAATAAAAAAGAAGTAAAATAAAGAGTATTTGCGGTGTACACACAAGAAAGATTGGCATATTAGTTCAATGCCCTATTTTTGTCTTGTAGTTATACTCCCGCATGTTCTGATTACTATTGTACCCCTACACCAAAGAAATTTTGTTTGTATCGATTACTTATTCTCGTGTTTCTTTTTTTCTATTCTGTTATCCATATACAAAAATAATAAATAATAATAATTAAGAAAAACGAAAATAATTATTGAAAAAAATATTTTAACATTAAACTCTAAAGTCTAATCTTAGGTAAATCACAAACCTTTGGATAAATCTATGAAAATTTAGTGTTTATGATTTACCCAAGGGTTTAGGGTTTAGGATTAGAGTTTAGGGTTTAGTGTTTATGATTTACCCAAGGTTTAGGTTTTAGGATTAGAGTTTAGGGTTTAGTGTTTATGATTTACCCAAGGGTTTAGGGTTTAGTATTTATGATTTACCCAAGGGTTTAGGGTTTAGGATTAGAGTTTAGGGTTTAGTGTTTATGATTTACCCAAGGGTTTAGGGTTTAGGATTAGAGTTTAGGGTTTAGTGTTTATGATTTACCCAAGGGTTTAGGTTTTATGATTATAGTTTAGGGTTTAGTGTTTATATACCCAAGGGTTTAGGGTTTAGTATTTATGATTTACAAGGGTTTAGGATTTAGGATTAGAGTTTAGGGTTTAATGTTTATGATTTACCCAAGGATTTAGGGTTTAGGATTAGAGTTTAGGATTTAATGTTTATGATTTACCCAAGGGTTTAGGGTTTAGGATTAGAATTTAGGGTTTAGTGTTTTAGTGAAAAGAGAGAGAGAACAAAGGATTATTTGGTGAGGTTAGTTTGGTAATTGACAATTAAATCTTATCCCCACAATTATTTGATTTGTGTATTTAGCTAATTATGTAGTTCTTATAGGATTTTCAACAAATTCACCCTAAAATAAACCAATTCCCTTTGTTGTTTCAAATTCTTTAAATAATATAATTTTTCATAGTAGGATTCCATGCCACATGTAAATAAAGACAAAAAACGATGTTTAAAAAAAATAATACAAATGTATTCTTTTTTTTAAAAGATAAGAATACAAAATATAAGAGAAGCATAAACATCGATCGAATGTAAAGCTTTGTTTAAAGATACATTCTTTTTTTTTCTTGTTACAATCTTCACAATCTTTCTCATTCTTTATTTTTTCACGTATACCATACTAATCTAGCAAATCTAGTTATACTAACCAGTTCTTAAATAAACGTTAACTAACATGTTTAGCAAATTTATATCACTTAATCTACTGACATATATAATTGTTGATAAAAAAAGTATTAAATCTAAATTATACATTTTGGTATACGAAGCCACGCCAAAATATTGGAGCATCTAAATTTATATAACTAATATTGTTTAAATATTAACGGTCTATTGAGAAATGTAACAAAAAAAAATTAATCAATGCTGATGCTAGTTTGATGAGTCAAGTTTGAGATGCTTAGCTGAAAGAGCTATAATTTTAATGGCTAGACGGGGCGTGAAGGATTAGACAAGGAATTTTTATTCTCTTTAGCAAGGGAAGCATTTTACCGTTTAATAAGCAAGAAAGGCATTTTTATTCTTAACACCCTTTTCTCAATGTCTTCACGTGTCAACAAGGCTTGACGTCAAAACAAAAAGAGCATCAACCAAAATCCTACGACTGCTCCGATCCTCTAAGCTCTACCCTTCATAATCTTCTTATGGAGCTCTCTCTTGCAAGCGCATGGATTGGTTTTCATCACATTTTCTTTTATCTTCAACTCTTGGAAGTTGAGACAAAACGATGGTAGGTGAGTGAACCAACATCAAGTCTAACCTAACCTGACCGATACTGAACCAAAACCAAACCTGTCCCAATTGTAGCATCAAGCTACCAACCAACGCAAGCAGACAATCTTGTGATTTATTAATAGCAGGACCAGCCATGCGATTCATTTATGAGTCATAGACGATTTATTAAAAATTTCAACTATTTTTTTTTTTAATTTTACGGTTTAAAATTCTTTTTTAGGGATTTATATCTTTTTATTCAAAAATTTAGAGATCTAAAAGCAATGTTTGAGATCCAGCTCTAACTAATGGTACTTACGCTGTGATTTGAGCTAGTGTTACTTAAATCTAAGATTATCATAGCTACCAGTAGTATTAATATATGTTGTCTACTTGTCTATGATGTTTCAATTTTCTGTTCGGATATTTATGCTGAAAACAATACCCGAGATATGAATATTCTATTTTTTCTTCAAAATAGTCACAGGGGCGTTTGAGTATATAGGGTGGTTAATGAGACCGCCCCTGGGTCCATACCAAATATTATTTTTAATTTTATATTTTACTTACATATATAATTTTATAATTAAATACAATATAATATAATACAAACTATATAATATAAATTAATTTAATCTCTTACAAGTGTTTAAACAAAATTAATTTTAAAATTTTATTTAAAATTTAAACCTTTTTTACAAAAAGTATTAATTATGAGATCTAAATTTTTTTTTTTGCACTGAGCCCACAATGGTATTGAGCTGGTCCTTAATACTCAACTCGTGTTCGTGGCTATCCTTGTTTTAGAGTCTCTTGCAAACATAAGTAGCAATGTGTACTAACTAGTTCCATTGATCACATGCCAAGTTTACCCAAAATTATTTAATGCTTTTGTAATTTTCTACACAAATAAGCTTAGAAACAAAAAAATTCCTTGCACCGTTGCACGCCTTGTGTTACATACAGGATAAGTTCAACCGTGCATGCAATATGAGACACCAACACGTCTAAAATTCATACGTATATATGCAACAATAAGACAAACTTATAGATATATAACACATTCTATAAGTGTTTTCCTTTGTTATTTTTAACCAAGCAACTCCATGCCTATCCTTGGAAATTAAAAGAACACGGGTAAAGAGCAGAGTAAAGACTGATTTGATACTAATCTAAGATATGATTGAACAATAAATCAATCTACAAATATAGTATTACAATAAAGCTGGGAAAGAAAATGTCCCCATCATTAATAATGATAATTTACAAATCTCCCACCATAGATTTATATCTGAAGCCTCTCAAAAGTCGAAACAAACAAGACTGTGGGAGACATTTATTCTCTCCCTCTCTCTCACACTGTACAATGTGATCAGGCATTGATCTCAGAGTTGCATTGGTTCTCTCTGCTACAGCTTCTTCTCCCCCAGAACATGCTTGAGCAAGTTGTTGTCTTCCCAAGTCTTTGCCCTTCTCCTATCTTCTCCTGCTCGGTCATTGCCCGAGGAGGAGAAGATTCGTCATGTTCTTCGCCATTTCTCTCTGTTCCATGTGTCTCAAAGTTTGGACACGTTCCATCATTGCATGTGCACATTGGAATGTTGACTGAAGGGAATGGACTACATGTTACAGGACAGAACATATCAGATGAAACCGAGGGTGTCCGAGTCTTGCAACTACGCTGTGGCTGCTCTGTTGTTGGTGATGATTGATCTGTTGCGTCACTTGTGTGAAGCATACACGGCGCACATAACCCAAGTGACATAGGTAACTTCATTTCTCTTGTCATGGAGCTTGGGAGACGTTTAAAAGAGACTATGCCGTGTCTGCAAAGAGGACAAGGAATTGAACCGGGCGGATCAACTGTCACAGAGGGAACGTTCCTTGATGAGCAAAGATATAACGCGCATCTGACACATAGCTGATGCTCACAACCTGAAACACAACCCATGACTTTCGTTATTTTAAGTTAAGGATCCTTAAAAGAGTCTTGAACTAGAGTTTAGAGAGACCTTCAGCAGCAACAGTGCATGTTCTTTCCAGGCAAACCGCACAGATATCAACCTCATCTGTGATGGTTGCTGACTGCAATCCGAACTCTCTGCAACCAAATAATTGACAAGAAAGTAATACTAAGGTCACAGTTTGGTCCTATAAACTAGAGAAAGGTTCACCGTCATTACCTTGCGATGTTGAGTATACTCAAAAGAGGTAATGATAAGTAGTTGGAATGAGGGAACCCTGGAATGACGACATCAGAGTCTGGTGAAAGAAACGGTTCTAACCAATGGCGACTCCACATACGTGCTATGTCAATTGGTAGCCACCTACAAAAAGGGACAGTTTTGAAGATGAAATGAAACAATAGAAGAGACTGTGGAGAAATCATTTACCCATTGCAGTTCAATGTCATTTTGCTTGCACCTCTTGCAAGGAGAATCTAAAGATGAAGAAACACAGAAAGAGTGAGATTCTCACAAGATCTTTGTATCTAAAACAGAGAACCAAGAGAATAAGTCTTGTTACCTGACAACATTTTAGATTCCCACCACAAGCGGCATAGTGCAACGGTGTGCTTCCTGCTCCTGTAAAGGATAATTGAGACCAAAATCATCATCTAGAGAAGAGGATAAAAAAGAATGTTCTAGTCATGTTGGGAGTGGATAGAGAGAGAGCTGATACCAATCATATCCATTGTTGTTCCATAATGAAATGTCGCGGCGGAAACATTAGCTTCAAGGTCAAGCAAAAGCTGAACACAATCAAATAATCCGTTTAAGGCAGCCATGTGAAGAGCTGTGATTCCACCGTCAGCCGCCTTGTTCACAAACTTAGACAATGCACTGAACCAGAAACAAAATGTTTTATGTGATCAATCAACCTTTGCTCAGATTACAACACATGGAAGATGGTTTCCATAGAAAAAACCTTTGCTCAGATTTGTTCCTCGGCGTGATTACACCAGTCTGAGGAAGAGGGTTAAGTTTCTGACTAGGTACAAAGTCAGCCAAGACGAGTCTAATACACCTGACGTGACCATTCACAGCAGCGAAATGAAGCGCTGTTCTTCCAGCTAAATAATCAGCTCTTGTAACCTTTAGAAAAACAAAGACCATGTTACAAAAAAAAAAAAAAGACAACTCTGAATCAAGGAAGACAGTTCTGTTTCAACTCACATTGCAACGAAAGAGCAGAAGAGTTTGCACAACTTCCCAATGTCCGTATCTACATGCTTGCATCAATGCTGTCTGAAACAAGATATTAATTTAGGCAATAATATTGTTTGAATCTGAATCTTATATGTCGAATATTTTTTAACAATATGTTTGCAATCTCTTGTCGTCACGCATGGATCCAATGCTTAAAACTCTATTAGCTCAAAATTAAGACAGAGACTTCTCACTAATACAAAAACCTCAAGTCGTAAAGTATTGAAACTTGGATCGTTGCATAAGTTAAAAAAAAACAGAGTCTTGGAGTACCTGGCCGCAATAGTTTCTGGAATTCACATCAGCTCCGTTCTCCAGCAACAACCCAACGATCTAACCATGGAAAATAATTAACAATTTAGGGAGTTTTTTTTTTGTGAAAGAGCGAATTTGAATGGAAAGGAGAGGAGAGGAGACCTCGTTATGGCCTTTAGCGGCTGCGAAATGCAAAGGAGAATTGAGACCACCGAAAGTAGAGTACTTTGCGAGACAAGGATTGCAATCGAGCAGCATCTTCGCCTCCACGTAATCACCATCTCTCGCCGCCGATACCAATCTCTCACCAGACGCTGAACATCCAAACGAGTTTCCCATTCAATTGGATAGTTAGGTGAACCGTCGCGGAACAGAGGAAAAGAATCCTGGATTTAGAGCACGCGAACTCTCTCTCTCTCTCTCTTTCTGATTTTGTCCGTATGGAGACAAAAAAGGACGACAAAGAGATGCAGTTCCGAACATAACTTTGACTTTCCTATTTTACCCTTAGATCTCTTTCCTTTTGCTTTGTCCACTTCCACTTTCACTTATCCCACTCAGCCCTCCTGGCCTCCTTTGATATTTCATTTGTATTTTAAAATAGCAAGTAACAACTCCTTTTCATTTACTTGATAACTATATTTTAATAAATTTATCTATAAAATCTAATGGTGATTATCAAATTTTAGCATTTTGTTTGTAGGTTTTAAAGTGGGTTTTGGTTTATGATTTTTTAAAAACTGTCTTCTATCAAATCATAATTTTACCAAAGTAGAATCTTTAAGTTTAGGGAAACTATTTTTTTCCCTTGTTTTATTGTTTTGTTCTTAAAACTAGAGCTCTGTTTTTTTTTGTTGTTTTTGCTACCTACAAGCATTATTTTTTTCTACTTTTTGAATTTTAATTTTTTATATTAATTTTAGAAAACATCTAGTATATAAGAGCTACATTTATCCTACAATAACACATGAATAAAAATCTAAAAATTAATAATCTTCTTTAAATTTTATGTTATTGGAGTTTGTTTAGGTAGATTAATTTTATAATTATCTAATCAATATCTTCTAGGATAAAACTTATAAAAATTAATTATTGTTATTTATAAATATTATACATTTATTACCTTGTAATTATTTTTTATTTTTTACAAAATCTGGCTATTAATTTTTATTTTAAAATATTTGAATTAAATAAATTTATGTATTTTACCATCTTGTAAAAACATAATTATTTTAATTATGTTTTAATAATATCTAATTATCAATTATCTAGAAATAACTGTGCTTTTAAATCTAGCTATTAATATCTATTTTCTTTGAAATCTTAATTATTAATTGTGTATTTTCCTGGAGATATAAATTAAATTTATATTAATATATAGCTATTAATTTTATTTCATAATAAATTTTAAAGTAGCTGGTAATATTTATTAGTGATACTAATATTTTTTGTATTTTATTCTTTTATAAAATATTTTATTTTAATAATTTATTTTAGTTTGAGAAAAAAAATTAATGTCACCATTCAAGCTTTTTGAAACACTAAAATCTACAACAAACTGAATAACAAAAAAACTGCAAAATCAGAGTTCTAAGAACCAAAATTCAAAAACGAAAGACTAAAATTTAGAAACAATACAAACGAGCATCACCTTGCTTTGGTTTGACTGAATAATTTAAATTTTTGTTCGTTAGTGATAAGATTTATTTGTTCACACAACAATATAAATTCTCTTAATAGACTACCAAATGTTTGATATTTTCACCGAAACACCAAAAGCTACTAAATATCAGAAACCCATGACCACATAATTTGTGATTGTTATATAGAAATATATATAGAGTTGAGATCAATATGATTTAGTAACTTATATTTTTTTATGTTTGATTTACTTATTGAATACTCCTTCTGTTTCTTTATATAAATAGTTTTAGTTTAATGCGCAAATATTAAAAAAATGATGTTATTGTTTTTAAAGTAACATTTGATATAATAAATTAAATATAACTAAATCAATCATAAATAAGGCAATATTATTTGATTGAACATATCATATTCAATAAACGTAAAAATTGTTTAGATATTTGAAAACTATTTATAATTTGAAACAAAAACATTTTTTTAAAACTACTTATAAAAAGAGTAATTTAGCTAAATATATCAAAAGTTGCCATATTTTAAAAGGGAAAAAAGTAAATAGAAAAAAAGAGAAGAGGAAAATAGGGTATACAGCTAAATATGGAGTTTTGTGTGTGTATAGAGTGCAAATACTTTAAAAAACGGAAGGAGCATAATTTACCCAAAGGAATATCTAAATCTCTAATACATATCTATATATGTATGTTACTTGATCTCCAATACTAAATCTTATTATGTCTAACAATATTTTTTCTGACATCTAAACTATTAAAGGGGAAGTACAATTAGAAAATAACTCTGACTTTTCCTAAAGAATTACAACCTTATGCCACTGGCATAAAACACAATCGTTTGGTCTTATTACTAAACCGTAAAATTACTATACCATTACAAAGCCGTAACATTACTAATCATCTAAATAAACTTGATGTTGATAAATACAATAGATACTTTCCTGCATATCGTTGCATACTATTACTAGAACATTGAATGCAATTGTGATAATACCATGGTTCCTCTTGGTCTATAGAATCAAAACCATCAATAGATACATTCCTAAATACCTTTTCATAACATCACTAAACAATCGAATGTCATTGGATTAATCGGTTAATCTTGGTTTGCAGAATCAAAACCAGGGTATTAGATAGATACAAAATTATGTTTATTTCATTGAAAACTAAATGTGTAAATACAATACAACGTAATTCCCATACATTTTTAGATCGATTAAGAAAGCCTGAAATTTTATCAAAGAAGTGTTTCTTATCTTAGTATTGTGTCCATCTATCTATTTGTTTGTCGGTTTTGTTTCATGGTTAGTATTATGATCGATAATAAGACCAACATGTAAACCATCGTTTATAAATATACTAAACCAGCCTAATCTCATAGATAGAATTAAACTTAAAAATATGTTATTATCACTAGAAATTATCGACCCATAAAATCAAAACTAATCATTTATTAATTTCCTAAACGAAATTACCTTCCAAAATATTTTCATATATTAATTATTGTTTCTCACATAAGAAAATATTGCCTCTCACTAACTTACTCCATTTATTCTCGATATCTAACCAATCATCATAACAATTACGATCTCAATCAACTAACACAAGATTCTTATTTTGTTTCAAATCATGCAAATCACGTATAATATCTAATCACTAAAAACGAATATTCTTATTGTTATGATAAGTTTTTATAATTATAAGGAATGAATTTTGAACAATTTGAAAAGTATATTCGCTTTTTAATGCGTGAAAATCACAACTAGCAAATCTTTGACAAATATTTCGCATTTACCATACCCTTTCCTAGGCCTATATGTATATCTTCCTCAGTAACATGAAACCATATGATCGTACACAGAGCATCCTAAAATGTCTACATGACTAGGATGACTATTTTTACTCCTCTCAAAACTCAGACCTCTTAAATCAAATTAGAGAGTTCAAGTTAAGTGCTTACATTCCTGGAAGCAGAACACCTCTTTTGGAGGAGATACCTTCAAGATGGTATTAGCAGATTAATGGGTAAATCGGTCTTTCTAAACCTTAGTTGCATTCTAACATGTTACTGCTTTTAAGAATATCTTATGGTACCATTTTTTTGTAGGGGAACAAAATCTAGGCATCCTGCAAAAAAACTCACATGATCGAGTTCAATCCGAAAGTACTGAACCAACACTGCTTTAGACCTGTCCAAACAACACAGTTATAGTTATACGTTAGATTTTACTGGAAAATTTAACTGTATAATGAAATAGACAAAATAGTCATTCCAAATTGAACTATACAATCATATATAATGTAAAAGTAGCTATCAAGATTCAAACTGTCCAGAGGAAAAGAATCTAAGAATTCTGATGTCAATAATATTGCTGTTTACCCTATTTACTTTACAATTACAAACTTATCTCGGTATTTACATGTCGCTTGTATCTTGGTCCTAACGAGTCATATTTTTTTCGGAACCCAAAGAGAAGCATAGAATCATGAGAGTTCAACTTTTTTGGTTTTGTTTTCAATTTCAAATCTGCATCTCACTCTACATGAAGTAGATCTACACAGAAAAAAAGTACATATATGCCAATATTTAGCTGAATGTTTAACTAAACAAAACATTTAGGAAAAATATTTCTTGCTTGCATGTCGATAACAAGGTGTTGACTGAACTACTCTTCAAAACCAAAGATCTATCAACAAAAGATCAAAATTGAAATATTTTGATAAATAATATTTTTGTACTATTGACACATTTTGATCAGAAAACTTAATCAATAACGAGTAAGATTATAACATTGAGTAGATAGATCGACTAAACAAATCTCTTCTCTTTTGATAAAAATAAATCGTTCTTTTTCTCTGAAGAATAACCGATGAGAGAGAGAAAGAGACAAATACTTGTATAGATGTTGCCAATGGGCTTTAATTACAATATTAAGTTGGGCCAGACCGGGGTAAGAGAGAGAAAGAAGACAGAGAAAGTAGATCTGGCCGGCGTCGGAGGGCTCCCTTAGCCTCGATGCCGGTCAGGTATTGATGTTGGTTGTTTGTGTATCCTTATGGTGGTTGTTGTGGTATATTTCCGGGAGGTGGAGGCTTGTTCAGATCCATCGCCGCCGGCTCTAGTTTCCAGGAAGGGAGTCTCTTAGATTCCTCTTCGCCGGTCTTGGTCACGGAGAACGGAGGCTAACAAAGCTTCGTACTGCCGTTTAGGAACCCGTATTCTTTGGGTAAAGGTTATTAGGTCCGATGTGTCTGAAGGTTCGGCGTGGTTGTTGTCAAGTTGGGGTGGAGTCACTGCGGATGAGATCTCGTAGACGATGATGCTCTCCGGTGAGGTGATGTCTTTCATAGAGAGGAATCGATGGTTCAAAGGTCGTGTGTCTAGGGTTTGAAGTGGTTCAAAGTCGAAGGAGATCTCGAGAGTTCGATGGATCTCGCCGGCGTGATGACATTTCGATTTAGAACAGCTTTGGGTTCGTCTGGAGGCTTACTGGCTTTCGGAGCTCCGGTGAACATGTCTTGTGGTGGTGTTATTCCGACGGTGAAGAGGCGGAGGTGGTCAGGTTGAGGCGACTCCGACGCGTGCAACGGTAATGGATCAGATCCTTCCACGTGTCAAGTCAGTCTCCCCGATTCACTATCCACCTGTCCCGGGCGATTTCTAAGGTTGGGCCTCAGACCCGTTTAGTTTGTTGTTCATCTGCCCGTTTGTGGGCTTGTTTGCTTTTGTGGTGGTATTCGGGCTTCGGCCGTGTAATGGGCCTGGCCCTTTTCTTAATTATAAAACAATTGACGGAAAAAAAATGGGTTTCGAAATTTCAAAACTCATTGTATAGTCCAGAACTTTTCAAAATATCACAATAACTTTTAATATAAAACAAACATAAGCATAATGTTATATATATTTTTTATGTCTAACTGTATTTTTTTTTAAATATAAATATAAAATTTGAACTTTATATTCAAATTTAATGCCAAAGATTTATAGGATAATTTCATAAAAAGTAAAACCCACAAGTATTTTCATAAAACCCACAAGTATACTTAAAAGTCTAATATTTTACACCGTAATGTTTAAAGTAAAATGAATAAAAGCACAATAAAATAAAGACACAAATGCATAGTTTATAAATGAACGCTAAACACATTAAAAAGACAAACTAATGTCAAAACTCAATAACGAAACATATAATTATGTTTATGGGTTGTTAAAAGTAAAAAACATACAGTTATGAAGAACAAACACCCGCGCGGACGCGCGGGTCAAAGGCTAGTTTGTCTTAAAGATTCTTACATGCTTTAATTAGAGCACCCGTCATAATGATTTTAAGGAGAATCTTTAATGAAAAAGTACTATTTCTTAGTGAATCATTCTACTATTTGCGGGTTCCTTGATATGTGGTGATCTGCGATTGATTGATATTTTTTTTTATTTTTTTTAAATCTGAAAAACTAAAAAAGAATAATAATTAAAATTTTTTAAAAAAATTCTAAAGATTCTAATGGGGTTAAGCATTGGAGAGGCTCTTAAAACTTTATCATGATAACAAGCAATTAAAAGAAATAGTACAATCGGTGCCAACCTTTTTTTGGGGGGGGGGGGACGTGAGGCAAAACATGATTACATATATACAACTTAATAATATAATGTAATTTTAAATATTATTAAATATTAAATAAAAAAATTCTAAACAGTTAGTATTTGAAAGATTTTAACTTCGTTTTTATAGATCATTTTTATATATATTTAAAAGATACTTTTAATTTTCTTAAGAATCAGAAATAAAAAACAACTAATATTTTAAAGAAAAAAAAAACTAAAAAGGCATCATAATTTCTATATATTGAAATAAAATCTTGTATGTTCACAATTAACATTCACACCACTAACTATAACAAAATGAAATAGAAATACAAACATATTATATGGAAACAAATTTGTAAAAAAATAGTTAAAATCTTCATAACTTGAATAAAAAGTCTTATTTTCTTTTGTTTAATATTAACACTATTTATTGATGTTGGATTTTGTACTCAAGTAGAAACATAAACATAAATAATTTTACCATTTTACGAAGATTTTTTAGACATTGGGGACCCAAAATTTTGTAAATTATGTGGGGGCCTAAGTCTAGTGCCTTTTACATGGTACATATAAATGGTTATGCTACATAACAATTAGTTCTCCAAATATTATACAACTATTGAATACATATTATAAGATGAGTGATTACAATTACTTTTTCGGTGAAGGTGACGAAATCACCTATCGTTACGAGGAAAATCGCAGACGACATGGTAGAAACGATGATACTCCACCGCTCGTATCACCGGAGCATTTGTCCCAAAACATTTCTCCTACCATGAATTTCTATCAGCCTCAAAGCCAACCTACCATATCTATAACTTTGAATCGCATTCCATCGGCACATCATCAGTTTCAAAATCAACCTACCATCCGAAGACCATTCTGCTTGAGACGTTTGATATCGATGATAATATCGTGGCTGATGATTTTGTTTGCGCAATCAAATAGGCCTGCAAATAGGTCGAGACGAATACGCAGGCATTTGCCCTCTAACATGCCTCTTCCTTCAACCTCAGGTCTATTATCTTATGCAGTTATTCATATGTTTTTGGAAGCATAGTTTAAAATCATAGTTTATATCAACCCTCTATAAAATACGTTTGCAGAACGCTTTGGAGATCGGCCTAACCAAGATTCACTCGACGTAGGAATATAAAAGAGATTCTATTAATTATTTTCAATATCATTTTTCTGTAGTAACTTTTTTGTCTGCATAGTAAATGTTGCTTATTACATAACAGGAAACAAGCCAACGGAGTGTATCGCCTGAAAGAGTTTTAAATAGAGGTATAGGGTTAACAGAGAGACAATTTTCTCAGTTACCAACCATAAGGTTTCGACGGTCTCTAGAAGATAAAAGGTATTCTTACTTTCTCTCCTATTCTTTTATTTTTCCTTTAATTACATACACATTTTCTGATTTAAAACTGAAAAGGATAATTCTTATCTTCAGTTTAATACTCACTCACTATAAATAAAAACTAGCTTTTCCATTTAAAAGAAAATCACATGCAAGTTCTAAAATAAAAATAAAAAACAGTTCGATTACACAAATGTTGTAACGAGTAGTTACAATGTGATTGGGTAAACAGGTGTCTGATATGCCAGTTAGATTATGCTCGTGGAGATAAAATGATAATTTTACCATGTACTCACAAGTACCACGAAGAGTGCATTCGTCCCTGGCTCCAAAACAGTAAGGCTAGTATCAACTTTTTTTTTTTGGTAAAAGGCTAGTATCAACTTTTCTGTCCTTTTCTTGGATTACTTGCATCAAGATTTACTATCAACTCTGATGCAGTTCCTTTTTCTTTTATCTCTCACTCGTGCAGCTTTGCTGCATTTGCAAAAGGGAAGTGGTTTTATCAAACTAGTTCCGATCAGCAAAATGGACAACATTATTTATTATATCTCTTTATACATCTTTCTTTTATATAGGTATTTTCAACCAATTTTAAAGAATAATTTAGACGTTTATCATGTGAAAGGAAGATTATTAATGTATATCTTACTTACTATTTATAGGATATCCATAATAATAATAATTTGACCTTTATATTCCATGAAAGACCTATATATCCCATGAAAAGCCACATTGTATGGGCGGGGTCTCTTTTGAAATGGGTACTGGGTCAGTGTCTTTGTTCGTAATCTGTTGTAATGAATCTGACAATGAAACTCATGTGCTCACCAGAAAGTGACTCTTGTTCTAGTGCCTGGTTAACACCACAGGTGGTTTGGATACTGGAACTTGCCAGCTGCTGCAGAGTTTGTTTTTCTTTTTGCAAGTGATAGGGTAGTAACATATTGGATAAGTTACAAAAAAAAAGAATAGCATCTAATCTATTAAGTTAGAGTCCTATTTTAGATTATATATGCTATATTTCATTTTGGACTACCAAATAAATGTTCAATTGAATCAGTTAGATTTTATGAAATAACATATTATTTATATGTGTGATTTATTATAAACAATTCTATCCAAGTCTACTGATATCTAACACTCAGTTTTTATCATATTAAAAATAAAATAAATCTAACTTATTCACTGTTCGTTTAACATATAACATTCTCGTACATTACCTGCCTTCACATTACCTGTCTACTGTATATAATTTATGATAAACTAACCATCTAATGAAATTATATTTTAATCTTATGATATGACTTACATAATAAACGGGAAATATTATTTCATTGAAATATTTTGAATAAGCAGTTTTCTATTTACTTATTCTTGAACTGAAGATTATTGGCATACCTTAAGAATCATTTTTTGCATGTACATTAAACCAATACTAATGTAAGCAAATAAAGCAACAACTATATATGAACACGAGACTCATACTGTCATAACCCAACAAAAAATTAAAAATTAACATTTCAATTTTATTGTATTTTGTAGATAAAAAAAAAAAGAAACACAATCTGCGTTTCAGCGCGGTAGTATCCTAGTATTGGTTTATATATAGGCCCCCTGATATTGGTTTTTGTTGGTAGTTTTTTTTTTCAACAGTATTTACCTTCATTTATAATATGCTCGATTTTACCATCGACACTGATAGATTATCCATATTATATATATATATATATATATATATATATATATATATATATATATATATATATCTTATATAATAAAAGAAAATATTATAACACTTGAGTCATGACTAGAGTCTTTTATTTTAACGCTGATTTATTATGATATTTCAATTATGAAAAATATTACATAAATGATTCGACAACTGACAATATTACATGTCTTATGATGATCTACATCTAACTGTATCACGTGAGCTGTCCTATGAAAATTCACATCTATTCGTGTTTATTTGCACCATGTTGAATCCCTTGTAAGTATTTCTTTCGTAGTCTACATAGTTGTTTAATAAATTGCTTTCGCCGAATATTGAAACATGAACGTCCTGATATAGAAGCATTATTGAATCATCAATTAAACCACTGGACTAAGGAAGTTTCTACTGACACATATCTTCATGAGAATGATTCTTAAATGTTTCTTAGAAAATAGTTGTTTCATCTAAATACAAACTATAGTTTTCATTAAACTAATCATAAATCTTTACTAATCTAAAAACTGTTCTCCATTATTTCCTTAAATAAAAACTACGACACTAGTTAATGCGATTAACATATACTCTTTTTATTTCAATGTGTTACATATTTTAATTTTTACACACATATTAATAAAACATATAATAAATTCATAATTTGTTGTGATTATCGTTTTCCTATAAATCTAAATCAATAAGAATCCAATAAGTATAATTAAGTTTTTTGAAATTTGTAATTAGTCATTATTAGTTGACAAAACATGCATTGAAAATGCAAAGAAATGCTTTTTCAAAAAAATATTTTTTTCTAAAACATGTAACATTAGGAAACAGAGGGAATATATGGTAATTAATTATTTTCAATAATAAAGATTTGTTAACAAATTGTGTACCCTCTGTTGTTTTTTAAAATCTTTGTTAGTAAAATAAATAAGACAATTACTTTAACCATATAATAAAATTTTAGTTCTTCGTCTATGTTGTATTTTGAATTTTGTAAAACGAGTATAAATTACTAAACTATTAAATGTTTCACATAAAAAGACTTTTGTGAATAATGGTTTATGTTATTTGCTATAATAAGATACAAATGGTTATAAATACACATGAGTAAGAAATCTTATTAATAGGTGTTTATATATATATGTTATATCATTTAAATTAAAATATATACCATATAAAATACATACTTATATTTTTATATTTGCATTGAAGAAATTGAGAACTAATTTTTTTTAAAAGCATCAGGAACTAAATATTTTATTTCTGAAATTTTCATTGAATTTTTAAAAATGATTATAAATTACTAAAACTATTAAATATCTCGCATTAAAAATTTTATCAATGGTTTAAAAGTTTGTTATATAAAGTGTTGTTAATCATAAAACCTTAGGATTAGAAACTTCATTGAATATATATATGTTAATATTATTTAAATTTAATTATATATAATATACAATATATATAATAGATTATTTTGATTTATTTACCGTAAAATGATCGTTAATAAATAGTGCTCTTTTGATTTATATTTTGCGCTAATTTTATTATGTACGTAATGATTACTGATTTCTCAGTTATTTAAGACAGTCTTTTTATTTCATAATATGTAAAAAAACATAAAATAAGTAATAATATATAAAATATAATTTTTTTATTTTGCGGAAGGTACGAATCTTAATCTAATAAATATATTATAAGACAAACACATGACATTTCTAACCATATAGATTACCCTATATACTGAAAATTTCTCAGGCACTAATATCCAACACTTACTGAGGAAAGAAAAAATAAAAAAAGAGACATAATATCCATCATTTCGAAATATATTACCCAACCATAACCATACTTCTATAAAACTTTTATTCTTTATATATATTCGCTTAGAAAACTACTTTACATTGCCGGTTTTGAGAACATCATGGACCGAACCCTTTTCAATTCATTCACTGGTGAATATCGAGTCCTGCACTCATTAGCCAAGTTCTAGATCATATATAAGAACAAATTTAATCAAAAAGTATTTCTTGACCCATAAACATAAAATTCACTTTAAACTACAGAAAAATAATTTAAACTTTTACCTCTAAATCCAATAACGACCAATCAAAATCTGGAACATCTTTTTCCTACCAAATATATTCCAGGTTTTAGAGTTAAAAATAATATTGTTGGTCGTATCATGGAAATATTTTAGAATAATACAGATAAGAGGTACCTGCACATGATTAGGGTTAATGTTTAAAGTTGGATCATTCTTTTCCGGAGCAGCAAAAGTGTTTGATGTTTCTTCATTAGAATGTCCCTTCAGAGCAAAGTCAAATATATAATTCAGTAAGACATATTATCGAAGGTACTCTATCTAAATAGATAGATATACTGAAGATGTCTAGAAATCTACTAAAGTTCTAATAGCAACAAATCTAGTTAGAAAATTTTCCACAACAATTCTTAAACCATATGACAATGTATAATCTTTGATAGGAAGTTGATTCAAATCTTCTAATAATATGTATGTACCTAATTTATGTTCAGAAATTTCAAGCCACCACCTTCTTCTAAATATATTGATATTTTGAACAAATGTCTAGATACAATGCCTATATCTATTTATAAGACTAGCAGAAACCTACTAAAGTTCTAATAGTAACAAATCCAGGTAAAGAATTTCCAACAATAAATTCTCAAGCATATGATAATGTATAATCTTTGACAGGAAGATGATTCAAATACAATCTTTTTGATTGTTAGAATCTCCTAATAATATGTATGTACCTAATTATGTTCAGAAATATCAAGCCATCATCTTCTTCTAAATATATTTATATACTGAACAAATGTCTAGATACAATGCTTATATATATTTGTTTTATAGACTAGAAAAAACCTAATAAAGTTTTAATAGTAGCAAATCCAGTTAGAAAATTTTCCACAATAGATTCTCAAACATATTTTACGTATAATCTTTGATAGGAAGTTGATTCAAATACAATCTTGTGATTGCTAAAATCTCCTAATAATATGTATGTACCTGATTTATGTTCAGAAAGGTCCAGCCACCATCTTCTTCAAGAGAGAAGATCTGATTAAGTTCAGTCTCACAATTTGCAGGGATCTCAAATTTGCTGGTAGAAACCACTTCTTCTTGTTTCTGCTCCTATCACATATCAGACAAAATAATCTCACAACATATACTGTGTATATATTACATAATTGAAACATTTGGGTTGTGATGACGCATACCTTCTCCTGATCAAAGTCAAAGTTACTTATATCGCAAAGAAGCTCGTAAATATTGCTGAGGTCATCATACAAGCTGAGATTCTCCAGTTGAGGAATTTTAGGATTTGGCTGTATAGTTGCAGAGGCATGTTGATGAGGCTTAGATGCAGTGTTCTCATTGTTTAAGAACAATCCATACGGGAGTTGGCTAGGCCCTTGTTGATTAGGAGTTAAACTTTCATAGCTGCTCATTTGTGGTTGATTAGTTGTTAAACTTCCAAAGCTACTCATTTCTGGTTGAGTAGGAATCAAGCTTCCCTGGCTGCTCATTCCTAGTTGATTAGGAGATACACTTCCAAATCTACTCATTCCTGGTTGATTAGAGGTTGAACTTCCATAGCTACTCATTCCTAGTTTATTAGGAGTCAAACTTCCATGGATGTTCCTTCCTGGTTGAGTAGAAGTTGAAATTCCATAGCTGCTCACTGTGTTGTTGAAATTACTGCCATTAGTAGCCGACATTAAATGCTGTCCAAACCCGAGAACTTGAGATGTTTGGCCGGTTTTGTTCCCCATCACAGTTGGTTCGAAATAGCTTCCACTTCCTTCGTTTTGCAATGGCTGGGTTGAGAAACTGAGGTTTCTGTTGATGGGCATGGTCAAGTTTGATCCAATACCGTGTGGCTCATTGGTGGATAACCGGTTCATGTAGTTGTAAGGCAGCCGGTTGAAGCGGTTGGGCTCACATGTGTTGGATAAGAGTCTAGACTGTCCAAGACCGTATCTAGGTTTACAATAAAAGGATTTCTTGTTAAGACTTGTGTCGTACCAAGAAGAAGAGGTTGCGTAGTTGCTATAGTATGGCTCCATGTCTCTTCCATGCAACATGGTTGAACGTAAAGAACCTCTTTCGGAGACTTTCCTCAAGAATTTTCGATATTTCTGCGTAGTAAATATTTTTTTAGCTAATTAAAAAGTGGAATGATATTTGATTTATAGTTTTTAACCATGGAAAACAAACTTAAAAGAAAAAACTGATCACACAACTCAGAGAAAAAGTTCTAACTCAATGAAACATTAAAAAAAATACCTAAATTTTAAGGTACTTTACGGATTTAACTCCATTGCTAGTCAAACTTTAACATTTCTATAACACTGTTTAACACTGACTCTTTTAACGAAGACGATATTTCTTAAGCCTTTGTTAGTTTAATTTTGGCTAGCATAAATTGTTATTTTACAAAATAAAAATAATAATCATGTTTATAACATTAAATCCAAAACACAATTGTGAAAACAGAGATCGATGATTAACCTGTAGATGGCTGGCAACGTGATCTCTTGTCAAGTATGATACGTCCATGAACTCCAAAATTTTATTTGGCACAGCTTCTTTGGAAGGTTCAAATTTAGTAAACAAACATAGAACATTAAGTCAGTGTGTATATATGAAAATGTAAGAAAATAAACTGTATATAATGTATTATATAAAAATTATAAAAAATAAAACTTACTGTGAGGACCGATATGGTGAACAGCTTGTAAGAAAAGGTTCTGAAGATAGCCCGTCCAAGAAATCTTACTCTTCTTGGAAGGCTGCGGCAAATACTCTACATCATCACCAGAATCATCGTTAGATTTTCTTTTTTGATTTTTTCGTGAACCATCTGTACTATCACAACTTCCATTTAAAATGTTCACAGATCTTGAATCTGATCTAGACGAGAACTTCTTGTTCTTCTTGGTCTTCGAGACATTAGCTTGTTCAGGAAGCAACTGGATTTGCTGAGCGATGTAAACATTTTTGTCCTTGTGGTTGTGCTCGGTCCTTAATGTGGACTTACCCTTCCTCTTATAAGTTAAAGCAACTTGATAGATCTGTGGTAGGTCAGTTGGTTTGATGGGTTTCGGAAGGAAACACAACGCTCCACAAGCTAAACTCTCTTGCTCTTTGTTGATGTCCGATGACATAACTTTCATATTTTAGGAAATGAAAAGAAAATATTGAAATATTAGAATTATAGAAAAAAATTATTACAGTGTTTAAAAAATATTAAATAAAAAATATAAAAGCATAGAAAAAAATAGAAAATATATATTACAATTTTTTGAAAATATTACAAGAAAAAATAATATATAAAAGATAAAACAAACTTACCTATGACCGGAAAATTGCCAAATTGTCGAGTGATTTGTTGTTTGAGTTGTAGACCATTCATGCCAGGCATGTAATAGTCTGTGACTATGACATCGATAGTTTTTCTGTGGATTTTAAGAGTAGACAATGCTTCCCTCGCGTCTCTTACAGCTATAACTATGATCTCCATAGATGGATCTAAAGCCATTTAACCAAAATAAAGATTCAAATGTAATGTGAAAAATATTCAAGTATTATTACTTTTAATTGTTTTAACCTTTTTAAAATGACAAAGTGCACAAGTGGATGCTAGTTATATATATATATATATTCCATTATATTTTAAAAAGGTGTATATACAGATTCCACTTTAGTTATGAAATAGTTCATACATTTTGAGAATGTTTTTCTGAAAAAGTAGGTAATAAAAATAAATGAAAAAAAAATTAATGAGAAGTTTGAAAACCGGTTCTCTCGGAAAATATATTAAATTTTGAGAATGTTGATAACAGCAGCCAAATATTTTCGTTGAAATTGCTTTGCATTGTTTATTTGAAAGGCTAACTGATTGATTACTTTACAAGAAACGTCGTTTTGAAGAACATCCAGGGGTAAAATATCATATATTTAGTTTTTAAAAAAATATTCATATATTTTTTTCATTTTATTTGTAATATATATTTTTTAAAATCAACATTATTTTTTTAATTCAACTATTGTTCGATATACGTTTGAAAACCTTACATACATTGGTTGAAAAAAAATTTTAAACCAAAACTATTAGTATAAAATCATTAAAACAGGAATATCTATACTGAAAATTTAGATTTGTGAATTTAATTGATTCCACATCCTAATGATGAGATTTTTATTAATTTCAAGAATATGTAACTTTTGAAAGAGCTAAAATTTACAATCTTTCTATTCGGCTAATTAGTATTAAAAATCAGTGAAGTTACGAAGAACTTAGTAACATAATGTATTTGATAATCTTACCTCTGTATTTGGATCTTTCAAGCATGCGTGACAAAAATTCAAGGGAAACAGGATCATCGTCAACAACCATAATATTGATTTTCAAGATAGAGCTTTGGTTGTTGAGAGATTGGACAAAAGCCATTCTGCTAGTCTTTGTATATTTTTGTTGTGTGTTTTCAAGTCTGTATAAAACTACTTAGCCTACAGAAATCTTAATTTAAAGGCCTAAACCAGAAACGCTAATATAATATTTGGCAATGTTGTAGTGGTACATATGTAAGTGTATTGCAGAAAGAAATAATAATGATAATATAAGATCAATGCTTTTTTAGAAAAAAAAAATGTCAATGCAAGAGCAATGGTAATTTAGAAAAAGAAAAAGAGATACAACAACAAAATACCGTGTGCTAATTTATGTAAAAAAATCTAGACTAAAGTAAGCAAAAATTAATGCTATTTACCATATATATATATATATATATCTTTAGTTCTACAAATATCTGCAATTGTGTTTTTGTCTCCTGATCTTTTGTTACTCATTTCCGAGTGATTTTCAATTATATTTTTTTACATCTTTGTTTGTATTTGGGCTAGAAAGGGAAAATATTAGAATACTGTATGTAAAATGAAAAACGTCAGCTATATAGTTGAGTTAATCTATAAAATTGATGTGTTGTAATTAGAATTTTCTCTCCAAACATCATCTTAAACTATGAAAAACGACAAGGAAAAAAATGTTGGAAGAAACTTGAAAATTAAAGATTTTGGAATGCAAATGGGAAATTTTGAAACCATGAGTGTGAACATGTTGACTCACTACCACAAATCTTAAAAGAAACAGATTTCTGATTTCTATAAGTTGTATCATGATATGGTGATCTTTACATTTACATAGTGTAGCTAAAATTAAGATTTGTATCTATATTATTATTTAAGAGTGATTTTGCTTATTGTCATTTTCTCTATATTTTTAAATAGGTCATTAGTTTTAATAAATAATTTAGTGAGTCATTAATTTGAATAAAATAAATAAAATAATTTAAATAATTTTAGTGAATTAATTTATGATTTGTCATATGTATATAAGTTCTCAATGCAATTATAATTGCTCAGCTAGGAGACAGTGACACCATGATTTCTCCAAAAAAAAAACAATTTGATCAATTTTTCAATTTTTTTTTAAAAATTGTGACATCATTAATAAAAATAAGTTTTATTCAGTGAGTTTCTAAGTCATATTTTTTGTTTATTGGTGTATCTTATTAATAGTATTTTTATTCATTAGTTCTTTATTTTAATAATTTGAGATTTTATTGAACGTTCAATGTTATGTTATGTTATTTTGTAACCAATGCTAATTGGAATTTTAAAATTCATTGATATATGTTTTAACGTTGTAGTTTTGGTACGCAAAGAAAATATCAGATTAAAAAAAATAACGATGCATCATCTCCTTCATATTTTGCTCGAATGTTTGTATATATGTGAGAATACACAGTTAATATTTTATAATTTATATTTTGTTTTGATGTTACAACTAAAAAATGTTTAATGCAAAATCTACAAACCTTAAAAAAAAACAGAATTCAATTAATTAATTGTCGTATAAATACTAAAATTAGATAATTTATAATATTATTCTATTTTCTTTTTTATTAATCTAATCTAAATATGTGGATTCTTATACGGAGTACAATTATATTCTTAGAGTTTCATGATGAAAAAATTGTCATGCAGATTAGGTGATAAATAATGTTCTCCTAGCAACAAACATTACATTTGGAAAATTAAGGTTCAATAATGCTTTTACATCAGCAGATTCAGGTTTCAATCTCTGACGAAAGTGATTTATTAAACAATTATGTAGGATATGAATAAAGGTTTACAAGAGATTTTCAACATAATGCAAGTAAACTCGGCCAATCATGAATCTTTATAAGACGACTTTAAGTGATGCAGTTAGGTGTAGATCATCATAAAACATGTAATATTTTTAATTGTCGAATCATCTATGTAATTTTTCATATAATTATATTATCATAATAAATCAGCGTTAAAAAAACACAATCATTACTTATTAATTCTTAGTAACTAGTGACAAAGCAGAACTGTGTTATTATCTTTCACGGAACCACAAGAATGTGAATTACACCCAAAAAAAAACACAAGAATGTGAACCTTAAAAATGCAAAGATCTCGACCAGTTTAAAAAAATATGCAAAGATCTCTCTCAGTTTAAGTGTTTGATCAAAGTTTTAACCATTTCACACCTGAACAAAAAAAAAATGATACTCCATAACGACGTTATTTCCTCCGTATATTAAGTGACGCTGTATAAAAAAATTTCCGTTACAAAATAAGTGTCGTTTTCAGTTTTCAATACAAAATTTATTAATTTTATTATGAAATTTATTTTTTTATTGGTTAAAATGTGATTATGTGTACTGGTAATTGTGTTTTTTAATGGAAATATGTAAATTAATTGTTTTATTAATCTGTGTACACAATTCTAAAATGACATTTATAATGAAATATAGAGAATATTGTTTAAGGTATCTACTCTATTAAAATAGAGTCATTTTTTATCTACAATAAACAAGTCTAAGTAGAACCATTTCATTAATTACTCAATATAACATATTTGATTATTTATATTAATCAATCAATTATATACCAAACATGTCTGATTTAAAATTTATTTTAGGTTATAACAAAATCAGTTGAGAAAAATCTAACAAAATCTTACTAAAAATTCAAATACTTTTTTTATAAAATAACAGAATAATTAATTTCGTAAATAATAATATAATACTATTATATATTAATTACATTTTTATTATAAAACAGAAATAAAAATTCTATCATATTTTTATAATTTCCATATTATAGTCTATATTGTATTAAAAAGGAATTGCTCTATAAATTAAATAAAACAGATAAATATGGTAAATTAAATTTTTATTTTTAAGTTTTTCACTTAAATACTATAGACTAATTAATATGACATATTTGATTATTTACATTAATCAATAAAATATACACCAAATATGCTGAAAAAGAATAGATTTAAATTTTATTTTTAGTTATATCAGTTGAGAAAAAATCTAACAAAATCTTACTAAAAGTTCAAATATATTTTTTATAAAATAACAGAATAATTAATTTCGTAATTAATAATATAATACTATTATACATTAATACTAATTAAAATTTGACTATAAAAATAAAAATTCTATCATATTTTATAAATTTCATAGTATAGTCTATATTATATTAAAATTGAAGAAGGAAATGAACTAAATTTTTATTTTTAAATTTATTTTACTGGAATAAAAGAATTATTATTCACAGTTAAAAAGATTAACATACATAAACTATGTATATTTTCATACAAAAGAGTGTTAGCAAACGTTAAATTTTTATATCTCCAACTATATCTTATTTTTTACTTAAGTTAAAACTCACAACTATATATTATCTAAAAATGAGTATATACAAAATATATTAGTATATAACTAATATTATTTCATGTATTATATAGTAAGTAGTATGTCAGCAAATTTAATAATTCCAAAAAAGATTAATGAAAAATTTTCTAACTACAAATTTATTTTTAATTATAAAATAATATGTTGAGAAAATATATAAAAATATAACCAAAATTGTAAATAATGCAGTAATTTAGTAACAAAAATTTCAAAGTCAATAATCTTTGAAAACAAATATATTTAGTACTTTTCAAAATATTTCTTGACCAAATATACAATTTTTTGAAAAACGTTTCTTAAACTCAAGTTGAAAAAAAAAATCCAAATTATAAAAGATAAAATTATAGAAGATAAAGTGTACTTTCTTAAAAATAGAACACGGCAAACAAATACCATAACATCCAAAATAGTGAAATATTTTGAAATATTAATTTAATAAAACAAACTAGAGAACTTAATACTATAACATCCATAACATTTTTATATTAATAAAAATTACTAAAATAATACCATAGATGGTACTATGTATAAAATTTATCAAAATAATATAGATAATTTATTTAAGCAGATAATAAATATATTTATAAAAATTGAAATATTCTAAAATGATATATGTTAAATATCTATTTAAACACATAATATAAATATCAATTAGCCTACATAAATCTTATTTTATAATATCTAAATAAAATCTAAATATATTTTGAATGTAACTTTATTAAAAACATATTCTAAAAGAGATTTTCTATTTGAGTGTTTCAAATTATGAATTTATTTTACTTACTATAAAATATATTAGCATGTATAAAAACATTAGATATTAATAATGTTGAATAACAAAGTAAAAAATTAAAAAATATTATATATTAATAATGTTGAATGAAAATTGAAATAATAAGATTTCAAAATTACACAATATAAAAAAAATTAAATATATTTAAAATGCTGACATTAATATTAAAAATATATTTAAAAAATAAAAAATATATCTGAACGAACTTGCGGCTCAAATCTCTAGTAATATTTACATTGGCTACAGAATTGCATTGGCTACTGAATTCCATAAAGATGATACTTCATAAAAAACAATATTTACTTTGGCTACTGAATTGCAGCACAACAAATATGAAAATATTAAATATATAAATTATCTAATTTCAGAGAAATAATAGCAAGTAAAATTATTTTAACCTACTTACTTAATTTAGAAAACATCAGGTATATATAATCTCAAAAGATCAAGTACATAAATATATACTGTTTTATTATATAGCATGAAGATTTTGTGTGTTAAAATTACTAAATATATTATTCTTAAATGTTGATTGTTAAAGACAATAAAATTGTACTTAAGATAATTTTTGTGATTCGGATACTTATAAATATTTTTTCTTATAGCATATGTAGGATTTTACCATGTAAAATAATACTGTTAGGGATAATTTTTACAGTATTATAAATAAAAAAATAAAAGATTTCATTAAAATAATACAATATCAAATATATTATCCATCAACTATATTAAAAAAAAATCTCAAATCAAATTAAAATTATTGATATAATATATCAGTTATTAGAAGTAACCATAAAAATAAAAGACTTAACATGAGATTTGTCATCATTGGATAATCACATCAATGAAAAATAACTGCTA